GTGTGTGTGTGTGTGTGTGTGTGTGTGTGTGTGTGTGTGTGTGTGTGTGTGTGTGTGTGTGTGTGTGTGTGTGTGTGGGTGTGTGTGTGTGGATGCACGCTCGTGTGTTGTGTTGTGGTAGAGCGTGGTAGAGTGGTTTGCTGTGTTTCCCGGACACGCTGTTTTGCCAGCTGTGCATGTGGTGGGTTTGTCGCTGCTGGTTTTGTTGAGCATGTGGGATGATGTGTGTGCATGTGTGCATGCCTGACCTGATCTCTGGAGTGGCATACTATAAAGATGGAGAAGAAGAAGGCGGAAGTGAAGTTGTGGTGTTGTGTGGTGTTGTAGGGAGGAAAGGTGGGGTGAGCGAAGACAAAGTATGGGTGCATGAGTATAAACGAGCAGAGCATGTTACGCAAGCGGGGCGTGTGAGATGTCGCCTTCAACAACCTCGGGGTTTTGCGGAAGGCTGCGCAGTGTTGGCGTGGCTGAAGTGGCATTGGGGTCACGTGGGTCCTTGGCGCGTCTCCCCTGCGCACGCGAGCAGACCAAACCAGCACACAGCGATGTGTTTGAGGTGTCGAGATGGGTATACGAAGGACAGGTGCGCTGAATTGGTGTTTGATGTGGCTGCTGTGTGTTGTGTACTGTGTGTGTAACGTGTATGTGTGTATGTGTGTGCTGTGTGACAAGGGGGAAAGCAGGTGGACTTACGTCTTGGATGGAAATGCGCATGCGCTTTCCATCCAGCGTCACCAGCCGCCATCTGTAGATGATGCGCAGGTTGGAAAGTGAGTGTGAATGCGTGCGATGCCTTGGTGGTGCAAGGCGAACAAAGAGGGAAAGGAGAGGACACAAGAGTTGTGGGGCACCGCCAGCAACCACCACGGTCACCGACTCCAGCATTGTTCGCAGCAGTGGCAAGCACCACATGCACGGCAGCAGCACAAGCGTTGCTTGTACCCTTTCTCCATTCGTGTGGCTGTTCAGAGGACAGACAGCAGGTCCCTGTGACTGTTTGTGACTGATGCAGACAAAGCCAGCTGCCCCACAGCAGCTATTGCGATGGCTGTCGACCCTTGCGCGTCCCCTGCACGCGCAATGAACAAGAGGGGTGTGTGTGTGTGCGTGTGTGTGTGTGCGTGTGTGCGTGTGAGTGTGTGTGTGTGTGCGTGTGTGCGTGTGTGTGCCTGCTGCCACGCGTGTGCACGCGTCGCTGGAGTGGTGGGTGGTTCGGGGTGGTGGTGTTGTTGTGTGGCGTGTCTTCTTCTTGGTTGTGGGGAAAATTTGGCGGCACAACGACAGGAGAAAGGAGAGGAGAGAATGGGTGTGGTTGGTTGGTTGGTTGCTTCACTTTGGCTTCTGCTTTGAGATGCGAATTGGCGGCGTTGCTTCTGCTTTGGCTCTTTGGATTGGTGGCTGGCTTTCTGACTTGTGTAGTGTTGTTGGTGTGTGTGTGTATGTGTGTGCGTTGGGGATACATAGAAGGGAGGAGGAGGAGGGGAAGAGAGAGGACGAGAGAAAGGGAAAGAGCGCGGTGGTCAACCACGAAGAGAAGGACAGCAAGACAGCCACGGAGTGTGGCTCGTGCTTCTGGGCTAGGACTGGCTGGCTGTTTGTGGGTGCCTGCCCTTTGTACGGGTCGACCACAGACAGTATTTCTCAGCGAACAGCATACATGTGTGCCCCGCAAAGGCTACCAATGACTGGACAACGGTTGGTGGTTTCCAGTTGGTGGTGGGCGTTGGACGGTTGGACTGTCGTGTGCGTGTGTGCGTACTTGTGCGTGCTTGTGCGTGCTTGTGGGCAGCTCATTTGATTTGGTTTTGGAGTGGAGGGAAGGGAGCGACGCGTGCGTAGGTGCGTGTGTTGATCTGACACAGTGGGCTGTGAGGTGGAGTACGCGAGGGATCCCAACAGCACGACACACTGACATAAACAGCACGACTCATCGCCACTTGTATCGGCTTGTGTCATGGTGCACAGGGGGATACGTTACCATAACAGAAGACGGAAAGTGAAGCTTACAGTGCCAGTACAAGATGAACACGGGATGCATCCACACCACATCCACACCACACTAGACCACATCCACACCACCATACCAAAGTCATGACAGCAGGCAGAGGAGGGTGTTTGGGTGTTGTGGATAATTCGCCGTATTTTCATACATTTATCGTATCATTGGCAACAAAGGTGTGTGTGCCACAGATGAAGCAGAAGAAGTGCACTGCCGCCTGTGGTGGTGAGGGGGGACAACAAGCAAGCGTCAAGTGTCTCGCTTGTGCCGTATGCGTTGTTGTTGGTGGTGTTGGCGTTGCTGAGGTGGTTGTAGTTGTTGTTGGTGTTGTTGAGGTGGTTGTCGCTCCGTGGCCTCGCTGTTGTCACCACAGCCGTGCCTGTTTTGTTTCTCGCTGCATTCATTCCCCTCACACACGCGCGCAACCACAACTGCTCCACCTTCTCAGCTTCGCACCAACTCAAACAAGCCAAACAAATCAGGTCGCCACGCCATGTCCGCGACAAAGCACCGCCCCGAGGAGTGGCAAACACGCCGCTCCCAAGTGACCACCACCGCACGCACCACCCGCTCCCTCTCAAACGTCAGTTGTGTGTGTGTGTGTGTGTGTGTGTGTGTGTGTGTGTGTGTGTGTGTGTGTGTGTGTGTGTGTGTGTGTGTGTGTGTGTGTGTGTTGAGGGACATGTGAAGGGAAACTTGTGGAGGGGAGGCGTGAAGGTGTTTTGCGGTTGTGGCTGTGGTGTGGTGTTGAGCAGTGTTGTGGTGTTGCTGTGCCAGCGACGTTTGTGCAAGGGATCGAATTGAATATTTTTTTGACTCCCTGCGTTTGGGCGTGTGTTTGTGTGGTTGTGGTCATCATCGCTTAGGGCATTCGTGCAGAGGCATTGGAGACTGCTCGGCAGACGACACAGCGCGTGCAGCGTGTTGCTCGCGACACCGGTACGAGTGTACCGCAGCCACCAACACACACACACACACACACACACATTCTTCCTTTAAACCGTTCTTTGCGTCACGGTTGCCGATGTTGTCACACGTCCAAACCGGAACCACAGTCCATGCCAACTCATGATGCCGCCATTGCCCCTGCTCTCTTCCTTCGTGTGCTTGTGTTGTGGCAGAGAATGAGCTGAACCTGCGCATCGACTGGGTTGAGCACCGGCGCCGCGACCTCAAGCTCAGCATCGAGGAAACTCTCGACGAAATTGGCCTCCTCAACAACGTCAAGGTGTGTACGCGTTATGTGTGTGTGTATGTGTGTGTGTTATGTGTACGCAGACACACAAAACGCGTACCACACGCGGGCGCGTAGATTGCGGATGTACGACTTGCTCACCTTTGAATGCCTGACCAATGTATTGCCACATCAATCCCACTCCCCTCCCTCCAATTCAACACGTGTGTGCCGGGTGTGCAGGAGCGTGTTGAGGAGGAGCGGGCTGCCAAAGCGGAACCCACGGACATCAACAAGGAGTGCCAGGACCTTCGCGCGCAGCGATATGGGATTGATCTCGTTGATGACGAAGTAGACGCAGAGCTCGATCACGTGCGTGCGTGCGTGCGTGTGTGTGTGTGTGTGTGTGTGCGTATGTTCGTGCGTGTGTGTGCGTGCGTGTATGTGTGTGCGTGTGCGTGTGCGTGCGCGTGTGTGCGTGCGTGTATGTGTGTGTATGTGTGCGTGTGTGTGCGTGTGTGTGCGTGTGTGTGCGTGTGTGCGCTGATGGTTGGGTGCTTGATGTGGTGGGAACATGCGCTTCCAGACACGTTCAACGTGGTCTCAAGATACACGCGTACTCACCTACACCTGTGTGTGTTGGTGTTGATGTTGTGCAGGAGGCCAAGTTGCTGTCTGATGTGGAGCGACTGCTGACAGAGGCGATGGAGGACGCGAAGGAGCAGCTCAGGTAATGACAGTGGTGGTGTTGCTGCTGTTGTTGTTGTCGACGTTGACTTGGGTTCCACAGGCGCGTTTGCACTGCCATCAACACGCATGTACATTGCATATTACACTGCCATCACTGGACACACACACACACACACACACACACGCACACACACGTACGTGTTCGTTCGCTGTTCAGGCTGCTGCGTGCTGCAAAGTACTCGCTGGAGAAGGATCTTGAGGCGAAGGACGCGGCGGTGAGCATCGACGCGGAGTGCCGCTCGCTCGACCGCTCCTCAAACACAATCACACAGCAGCTCGACGGCATCAACCTTCAAGACGATGAGTGAGTGCGCTGGATGCTTGCTTGCTTCGTCGGTTGTGTGCCCTTGCACGTCAGCGTGTCAGCGTGCCGCAATCGCCAGCACACGTATTGCGCGAGCACACATGTTGCGATGAGTGTGCTTGCCCTCGTTCTCACCTGCTTGACCTTCCTTCTTTTTCTCCTCCTTTTTTTTCCCGCGAATACCTATGTTGCTACGCAGCGGCATTGATCCAAGCGACTGGGACGTGAACACGCAGCACAACCTCGACCAGGCAGAGCAGGAGCGCATCAACGCGCGAAACCTGAGGGAAGACATCGAGGATCTTCTGCAGAGCGCAAGCGATCGCCTCACCCAGCAGGCAAACAAGGTGTGTGTGTGTGTGTGCGTGCGTGTGTGTTTGCGTGCATGTGTGTGTGTGTGTGTGTGTGTGTGTGAAAGGGGCGAGGCGGTAGCTGTGAATGCCTGCATGCGCGTGTGTGAACTTGTGTGTTTATATTTGCGTGTGGCCTGTAACCGCAATCGCTCATGACGTTTGCTGCTCTTTTTGTGTTTATTTATTCACGTCTGTGTGTGTGTGTGTTGTCGTGTTTGTTGTGATTGCGTCCATCTGCGTCCATCTACAGGTTGAGGACGCGTTCAACCGCCGCATTGGAGAGTGCAAGGACGCCCTCGCCGACACAGAGAACAATCTCGACAAGGTGTGGGGATTGAATGCCACACTTCTCAATTCCTTTGCGTACCGACACAACCCTTGATATCATGTGAACAGCATACCAATCCACATCACCACACCTCACATCGGAAATCACACCCACCATCACAATGCCCCCTCAATCACCCCCCCCCCCCCAAACCCAGACGCGGCTTGAGATTGAGTCGATGGAGCGGCTGACGGAGGACTTGAACGCGTCCATTGACGACAAGGTGCCGACGTTGCAGCTCGCGCAGACGCGCCGGCAGAAGCGAACACTGCGCCCCGGCCACGAGCTCGTCAAGGACCCGGCCCAGGCCACACTCAGCAGGTGCCCGCCGCATGCGTACATGCTTGCATGCTGGAGTGTCGGTAGTGGGTGGTTCAGTTTTTGCATGTGCGTGTGTGTGCGTGTGTATGTGTCACAGTCCTGTGCCGTTGGGTTCGTTTTGTAGCTCACACCCGTGCGTTCCGCTCCCTCGTTCACTGTTCACACACACATACAACCCACAGGGAGGTGCAAGAGGTTCAGGCTGCCATGGGTGACCTGCAAGCACAGAAGGATTCAGCGGAGAAGGCGCTTCTCTCGCTGCGTCGCACCGCCCTCGAGCTGGAGGAGGACGTCAAGTGCAAGACAAACACGCTCAATGTCGACAACGCGTAAGTGGGGACGCGCGCGCGCGTGCGTGCGTGTGTGTGTGTACGTGCGTGCGTTTGTGTGTGCACACGTTCTGGTTTGTTCGTGTGTCATATCACGTGTCGTGTGCCGCTCGGTGTGATACGCTACACCTCAATACGCTCACACCATCCTGCCATCCACAACCACACAGCTGCATGCAGAAGCGCCAGCAATACAAGTACAGGCTCGTTTGATGCGCGCGCGCACGTGTGTGTGTGTGTGTGTGTGTGTGTGTGTGTGTGTGTGTGTGTGTGTGTGTGTGTGTGTGTGTGTGTGTGTGTGTGTGTGTGTGTGTGTGTGTGTGTGTGTGTGTGTGTGTGTGCGCACTGTCAACGAAACAACCCACTCCCTCCGCTCGTCTGCCTTGTTTGTGTGTCCTTTGCACTGCCTGTGTTTGCTGATTTTCGTTTATGTTATTCATAAAACCAGTGCGCGAAAAATTTGAAATTGGTGTGGGAGATGGCGGACGTTGTGGAGGTGTTTCGGGAGGCGTGCGAGCGCTTTGGCTGGAGCAAGTATGCCAGCATCCAGGCGGCGCTCACCCAGGTCGGTGGTGGGCTATGGGAATCGCAGTTGTGTGTATGTGTGTATGTGTGTATGTTGTGTGTATGTGTGCGTGTGCGCGCTTTCATTCAGCTTGTCGGCACCCACATCAACCCTGTGTTTACCACACTCACACACACGCACACACACTCATTGTTGCACTTGCAGCTGGCCCGGGATACGGCATCAGGCAAACCCACGCATGTGCGGGGAGCCAGCAGTTGTAGCGACAAGGAAAACGGAGTCACTGGTAATGGTGCGGACGTGGGGCCGAAAGAGGCCCACAACAAACACTTGACTCAGCCGAGAAGGAGAAGCTCGGCAGTTGGCGGAAGGGACCTGCGATCACGCCTGCGTCGCCGCAGCCACTTTGTGCACGTGCGCCAGGAAGAGCTTGAGCAGCTGAGGATGGAGGACGGCTGGCAGAGCCCAACGTCTCCAAATGCAGAAAGGGACAGCGACTTTGACATTGACGGCGAAGAAGACGAGGAAGAGGAAGAAGAAGAAGAAGAAGAAGAAGAAGAAGAAGAAGAAGAAGAAGAGGAGGAGGAGGAGGAGGAGGAGGGGGCCGAAGACGAATTGTATGACGAGGAGGAAGAGGAGGCAGAAGAAGAAGAGGAAGACAGCGGCGAGGAAGAGGGGCAAGAAGGGGCAAGCAGTGGTGAACATGGAACCGAAAACGAGGATGATGGCAGGCAAGAAGACAGCGATGAAGAAGAGAGCTTCCAGGATGCGTTGAGCGAGCTTGAGGTCGGCACCAGCCCCATCTGTCCACTGAGGAACACACGGTCACAGCGCAGGGCTCGTGAACAGCAGCACAACGGACAAGACACGGCACCTGCATCCTCAGCAACCACACAACCATCGACTCGCCCACAGCCGCAGCCACGCTCACACCAAAGGAAACACAGAAAGCTGCAGGCAACATCGACGTGGCAGGAGGTGCGTGTGCGCCAGCACGCCCGCGGCAGTGGTGTGGGCGACGATCATGGCAACGGTGATGGTGATGAAGATGACGACTTTGGTTGTGGCCACGACAGTCAGGCCGAGGAGATTGACAAGTTCGATAGTGATGCGGAGGTGAACACGAGCGGCAACAGCAGTCGGTTGGCGATGGCGGATGCCGAGGACTTGGCGGAGACGCGCGACACTGATGATGATGAGCTGCACAGCGGCAACGACAACTGCTACCAGGAGGACTCGTTCTTGGAGATGGAGAGTGATGGAGGCGACAGCGCAGGCGACTCGGATGCTGATTTTGTCGTTTCCAGGGGCCAGCAGGGCCGCAGTGATGGCGATGACAAGGAGTTCACGGATGACGATGACGAGGACGATGACGACGAGTATGCAGATGATGATGCGGATGGTGATGAGTGTAGCCATGATGAGAATGATGAAGATGGTGCTGAGTATGAGGAAGAGTATGCACATGGCGATGCAGCGATGCGTGATGTTGGTCGGCGCAGCCAGTTCAGCACTTCGCGAGCTGACAGCAGCTTTGACAACGCTGAGGCCGATGATGAATGGACGCCATCGCCAATGCCAACGCGCACGCACAGACGCACACGAGAACACGCGCATTCCCGTGGATCATACGCACCACCGCCTTCATCATCACCGTCACCGTCAACTTCACGGATGCGTCGTCGTACCGACAGCTTTCAGGACGAAGCAGACGGTGCTGACGAATTGCAGCTGCACAGCCGCCTGCCACCAAAGATGGTTCTCTCAAGCGACGACGATCAAGGCAGCGATGATGACGAAAGCACACGACATGGTCATGTTGTGTCGGCAGCCACCACAACAAAAGACATTGAGGCAAAGGGATTTTCGCCGCATGTCACGACACCACCCAGCTCTGTTGATGGCAGTCCACTTGTCATTCGGGCGCGCCCCACCGCGACGGCAGTAGCAACAGCAACAGCAACAACAGCAACGACAACAGCAACGACAACATCGGCATTCAAGACAGTGCTGATTGTCTCCAGTGACGAGGATGACGAGGCAGATGTTGAGCTTGATGACGATGAGGAGGATGAGGAGGAAGATGAGAAGGAGGATGAGAGTAAGGAAGAAAAAGAAGGCGGGTATGTGCATGGGTCAAGCCGCAAGTCAGATGATGATTATGAGGAAGAGAGTGATGGCAGTGATGGCAGTGACGATAGCGAAGTTGAGGCGTTGGGGACACGTCTGCTCAAGCGGTTTGGGCAACTTGACATCAGCACAATTAAGGACGACAGCCACGGTCGTGCGGACAAGAGTTATGGGACCACGGACAGCAACAGCGGCAGCCGCAGCAGTCGAAGCAGTTGTGGCGACTCGCCCGACACCGGGTTTCAGTTTCACACGCCCGAGCGCAAGATCCCGTCATGGGTTGACCTGACACCGCGCCGGCGCGACGGCAGTGGCAAGCGCCTCACCGACACGCCCTTGACGCCGCGCAACAAGCAGCGCAGCACGTGCAAGACCGCACGCAAGGGGCGGGTGCGGTTCTCACAGCGACGCGAGGAGCGTGCGCGAGAGCTGTATGCCCTGTACAATCAAAAGGGCTTTCGCAACGCGCTTCCCCACGACTTGCGGATTGAGTGGAAGAAGACGCTCAACACCACCGCTGGTCGCGCCATTCTTCAGCGCAGGGCAGGGCTCCATTTCGCCTTTATCGAGCTCTCCACGAAGGCAAGTGTCTTGTTTTGGCGTGCGTGTGTGGGTGTTTTTGTGTATGTGTGTTTGTGTATGTGTATGTGTGCGTGTGCTTGTGTGTGTATATGTGTGCGTGTGTGCGTGTGCGAGTATGTGTTTGTGTGCGCGTTTGTGTGTGTGTGTGTGTGTGTGTGTGGGTGCGTGTGCGTGTGTGTATGTGTGTGCGCGCGTGTGTGTGTGTGTGTGTGTGTGTGTGTGTGTGCAAGCATCCGTGGCTAAATATCAGTTGCGCCCTGGTTGTTTGTTTGTTTGTAATCGTCATCGTTACTGCCTTGTTCTTGTCGACTACCTTGCTTGTGACATTTCCATGTCTTACCATTGCTTTTGTCCTTTGTTGGCATGTGCCAGGTGATTGATGACGACGAGCGATTGCAAAACACGCTGGCGCACGAGATGTGCCACGTGGCTGCGTGGTTGTTGAAGGGCGTGTGCAAGCCTCCGCATGGCGCGGCCTTCAAGGCATATGCGGCGCAGGTGATGCAGGCGTTTCCTTCGCTCAACATCACGACGTGCCACTCGTACGACATCCAGTTCAAGTACCAGTACCAGTGCACGACGGCATGGTGTGGGCATGTGTATGGCCGGCACTCCAAGTCCATCAACGTGGAGCGCCAGCGGTGCGGGCGGTGTATGGGCACGCTGCAGCTCCTGCCCCAGCTCAAGGCAGACGGCACGCCACGCAAGAAGCGCGCCCCAAACAAGTTCGCTCTCTTCGTCAAGGTGTGTACATGTGTGCGTGTGTGTGTGTGTTGTGTGTGTGTGTGTATGTGTGTGTGTGTGTGTGTGCTGCGTGTGTGTGTGTGTGTGTGTGTGCTGCGTGTGCTGCGTATGTGGTATCGTTGAACTGTTGTGCTGCTATGGATGACTTTGGCGGTGCAACGTGATGAGCAATGTGATGGGTGGTGACTCATCCTCACGTGTCCGCTGCTGCAACGTGCATTCACACACACGCACACACACAAACACACACAATTGCAGGAGAACATGAAGGCGTTCAAGCAGAGGCATCCTGGCGTGCCACATGGAAATCTCATGAAGTTGTTGGGCGAGGCCTATCGAAGTCAACAGGGCAGCAGCTGACGCAAGCACACGATGTGACACATCCGTGAGAGAGAGTGACCAGATAGAGCGTGTGTGGGGGGGGGGGAAGAGAGAGCGTGTGAGTGAGTGAGTGTGTGGGAGGAAATGGATGTGAGACAAAACCACAGGCACACAGACACAGACTCACAGACTCACACACACACACACACACACACACTCACAGACACACACACACACACACACACACACACAGACACACTCACAGACACACACACACACACACACACACACACACAGACACACACACACACACAGACACACACACACACCACAAATAAGTTGAAAGTGCCCAGTTGAAATCCCTTCGTTGGATATCGTTTTTTTTTGCCGCAGAAAAATAGAAAGAAACATCACGATTTATTGCGACTTGTGTCACCGCCCACTGCCGCTTTCCTCTGCACTTTGCTTGCTTGTTTGTTGCTTTGTGGCCTTGCTCCATATCCGCCCGTGTGTCATCCACCCCTTTTCCAACCTGCCATCAGTTAGCACGTCGAGCAAACAGCAACCATGGGAAACGTTCACGTCGTCGGCCCAGACCAAGTCATGGTCGTGTCAGGTGTGTGTGTGTGTGTGTGTGTGTGTGTGTGTGTGCGGTGCAGCGAAGGGAGGTTGAATCGTCGGTGGTAGTGGTGCAGTGCACTGATGTCATGCTGAAAAGAGTGTTGTGGTGGCGTTTGCGCAAGTGTTTTATGTGATGTGATTCACCATCTCATTGTGTGCTCTTTGGTCTTCGCCTGTTGCTTGGCTTCGCTTGTCTGATTAGGTGGCTGCTGCAATGCCACGAACAAGAAGACCATCATCGGTGGCTGTGCTTGGGCATGGTGGTTTTGCACGGACGTGCAATCGTGAGTTTATTGGGTTGGTGACAATTGCGTTTGGTTCGTGGTGTTGTATTCGTGCAAAAGTGTGTGTGTCCGTGCGTGGTGTGTGTGTGTGTGTGTGATGCCAGAACTTGACTTCCCTCCCTCACTTGATGCCATAGCATGTCTGCGCTCTTTGCCGTTGTCTCGCACGCCTTTCGTCGTGTTCACTTCCACCCTGTTTCATGCGTTCTCGTGTTGCATCTTGCAGGCTCTCACTGAACGTGATGACGCTGCTGCCGCGCTGTGAGGACGTGGAGACGCTGCACGGTGTGGCTGTCACTGTAACAGCAGTAGCGCAAGTGATGGTAATGGCGGAGAATTCGCTATCCGGGAATGAAGGCGGGGAAGATCGAGACACCTTCCTGCGCAAAGCCCTCGAGCAGTTCCTTGGCAAGTCGCCCTCGGAGATCCGCGATACCATCCTGCAGGTGTGCACCTTGAATGTTGTGTGTGTGTGTGTGTGTGTGCGTGTCATGTGTGGATTTGACTGTACATTTGTTTGATTCGTGTTGGTGTTTGTTGTGCTTGTGTCTACATTCACGTGTGTGTGTGTGTGTGCGTGTGGTTCACGTGCGGGTTGTTCATCCATGCAAACTGATGAGTGACTGTGCGAGTGGCAATGCTAATCGTGTCCCTCCCTTTCCACAACCACCACCGACAACGTGCCATCCACCAGACCCTCGAGGGTCACCTTCGCGCCATCCTGGGTACGCTTACCGTCGAGGACATCTACAAGGACCGCGAGAAGTTTGCAAACCTCGTGCGCGAAACCGCCAAGCCCGACCTGGCAAAGATGGGTGCGACTCTGTGTGTATGTTTGTGTGCATGTGTGTGTTTGTGTGTGTGTGTGTGTGATCGTGTGTGTGATCGTGTGTTTGTGTGTGTGTGTGTGATCGTGTGTGTGTGTGTGTGATCGTGTGTGTGATCGTGTGTTTGTGTGTGTGATCGTGTGTTTGTGTGTGTGATCGTGTGTTTGTGTGTGTGATCGTGTGTTTGTGTGTGTGATCGTGTGTTTGTGTGTGTGATCGTGTATGTGATCGTGTGTGTGTATGTGTACGTGTATGACACTCTTTCCTTGAAACAAGTGCTTGCTCTGTGTTTTCACACATCTCTCACCCCGCCTAACCCACTTCCTCCCCTTGATCTTATGCAGGGCTTGACATCCTGAGCTTCACGATCAAGGACGTGTACGACAGCCTCGAGTATCTCGACTCGCTCGGCAAGACGCAGACGGCCAACGTCATGCGTGATGCCGACATTGGCGAGGCTGAGGCCCAGCGTGACTCCGGCATTGCCGTGCGTTTGTGTGTGTGTGTGTGTGTGTGTGTGTGTGTGTGTGTGTGTGTGTGTGTGTGTGCTTGCGCGAATATGTGCTTGCTTGCCTGTTTGCTTGCCTGTTTTCTTGCATGTGTGTGTGTGTGCTGCGTTGCAGCGAGCACGCTTGCTGTATGACATCTTGCCGCCTCTGCCAAACATCACCTCATTGCCACAAATACCCCTCTCCTTCCCTCCCTCGCCCCAATACCCTTTCTTTCCCCCTCTCCGACGAGTGCAGGAAGCAGAGGCAGAGCGCGCGCACCAGGAGAAGGCCAACTCTGCCAAGACGGCCATTGCAAACGCCCGCCGCGCCTACGAGACAGCAAAGGTGCAGTTGACCGTTCTTGTGCAGTTGTGTGTGTGTATTTGCGATTGCCACGTGTCGCTGGTTCGCTGCATCGTGCTCTTTCTGTGACCACACACACACACACACACACACACACACACACAGAATCACACATACACAATCACACGCACACACGCACACACACACGATCACAACGCCACACGATCTCATTTTTCGCGTGACGGCAGGCCGTGTACGACGAGGAGGTGAACAAGGCGCGCGCAGAGGCGGACCTTGCATACACACTGCAGGCCGCCAAGTGCCAGCAGGACATTCGCGCCGAACAGGTCGAGATTGAGGTCGTCGAACGCCGCCGCCAGATTGAGGTGCGCCCTCTTGCACGTGTGATGCGCTGAAGACGATGAAGGAGTTCGGGGGGGGGGTGTTGCTTGGTTTTGTTTTGTTTTGCCATGCGTGTGTGCATGCGCGTGCTCGTTTCAGTCGTCGTTGCGGTGTACATTCTTTCACCATCATCTTTCACCATCCCTTTATTCAACTCTTCCATCCATTGCGTCACGCCCTCCCCGTCGCAGGTGGAGCAACAAGAGGTGCTGCGTACTGAGAAGGAGCTTGTGGCCAAAGTCAACCGCCCCGCAGAGGCCGAGCGCTTCAAGGTCCGCTCACACCACATCTTATCACACATCATGCACACACACACACACACACACACACACACACATACGCGACACATACGCCACTGCTGTTCTTCTTCCTTGTGGTTGCTCCCACCTCCCCACCGCCCCTCACTGTCATTACCGCCACCACCACGCTGCCACAGGTTGAGACGCTTGCCGAGGCAGCGCGCACCAAGCAGGTGTACGAGGCACAGGGTGAAGCCGAAGGCATCAAGGTGCGTGCACTTGCCTCTTGTTGCCCATTGCTGTGGCTCCTGGTGTCGTGTGCCAGTTGTCACGTGTTGCTGCATAGGTTGCACGATCACACAACTGGTTGTGCTGGTGTGTCATGTAGCGTAACCCCTCGCAACAACTTGTCCCCACACGTCTTCCCTTCATCCTGCTTTTCTCACCACACCTTCCCACCTCGCTCGAACCCCCCCACCCAAAAAAAAAAATTCCCAACATCAGGCGGTTGGTGCTGCGGATGCGTTCTCGATCAAGGCTGTTGGTGAAGCACGCGCCTCTGCCATGGCCGCCCGCGCCGAGGCCTTCTCCAAGTACGACAAGCAGGCCAAGGCCAGCCTCGTGCTCGACGCCCTGCCAAAGGTCCGCCGCAACACGCCGTCGTGCCGTGCGCGGTGTTGGTTTCATAACGCTGCTGTTGTTGTGTCAGGCCTGTCCATTACACAGATGTACACACACACATGCTGTGGTGCTCTTGCTGTTGCTTTGTCTCACGTTTGTCCTCTTTCGCCCTTTCGGCATTCATTCAACAACCGCCGTCCTAAACGTCTTACGTTAACCCTCACTCACCCCACCTCACCTCACCCCACCTCACAACCCCCCCCCCCCACACACACACTTGCCCCCCCACACACACACACACACACTTGCCCCCACACACACTTCCCTGCCCGTCAGCTCGCTGCTGAGGTTGCTGCGCCGCTCGGCAAGACCAAGGAGATTGTTGTGCTGAGCGGGGACTCTGAGGGCGTTGCTGGGCAGGTCTCCAAGCTCGTCAGCCAGCTGCCCCCCGCCGTCCAGGCCCTCACCGGTGTCGACCTCAAGGACGTGAGTTGTTTGTTTGTGTGTGTGTGTGTGTGTGTGTGTGTGTGTGTGTGTGTGTGTGTGTGTGTGTGTGTGTGTGTGTGCGTGTGTGTATGTGACTGTGTGTGTGTGTGACTGTGTGTGTGTCTCTCTCTCTCTCTTTCTGTGACTGTGTGTATGTGTGACTGTGAGTGCGATAGGGAGATAGAGAAAGTGTGTGCTGTGCTTTCTTCTGCTCTCATCTATATCTTGTATGATGTCTGTATTGTGCTCTTGTTGCCTTGCTGTACTCACCGCAATTCCTCACCTCCCACATATCCTCCACCAGACCATGCGCAACATGGCCAGCTCAAGCGTCTGATGCTGATGATGCGATGGTGCGCAATCACCTCTGTCCCACCACATCACATCACTGCACGCTTGCTTTGCTTGCTAGTTTGCTTCCTTGCTTGTTCACAACCCTGTTCACATCATGTCACAGTGTCACACACAAGCCCACACACAAGCCCGCACACAACAACACGCGGCACTGCTTCTTCTCTTTCCTTTTTCTGTTCGCGCATGTAGATTTCCATGTATGATTTCAGTAAATCTTCCGTAACGCTCAAACGAGTGGAAGAAGAAGGCAACAAACCACAACAGCGAGTTGTTTGAGGTGCACCATGTCAACCACCGCCACGACTGTTGCTGCCGCAACAGCAGCAGGGGAGCGAACGTTGGCGCTCGAAGACTTGGCAGCAAGCGTTGCTCGCCCACAAGGCTATGTCAAGGTGAAACCAAGTGTGAACGTCACTGTGCGTTGATTTGGCGATGTGGTGGACGGTTCTTGCACTGTACTATGACTCAAGGCGCTCCTTCTCTGATGCCATCTATTTATCTGCGTGTGCGTGTGCGTGTGCGTGTGCGTGTGCGTGTGCGTGTGCGTGTGCGTGTGTGTGTGTGTGTGTGCGGGTGTGTGTGCGCGGGTGTGCGTCTGCATCTGCGTGTATTTGATTGTCTGTTTGTGTTTGAGCTTGCAGGGTGTGGTGTCGCTGTGCTATCAGCTGCAAGACAGTACGGCGCCAGAGTTCAAGGTGACGATTCGAGACACTGGCACCAACGACTTTAACGACATGAACGTCTTTTTCCAAGGCAAACTGGCAAAGCAACTCGCGCCATTCCTCAAGAAGAAGGTGGCACATACACGCACACGCACACACATGGAAAACATACCGCTCATGTCTTGTACTTGAACACGCATGTGCGCAGAGAGATTTGTACGCACATGCACACGCACACAGGTTGACACATGCACACACACACATACATGCACACACACACACACACAAATACTCATGCCCACGTTCACACACTGTCACCCACTGTCATCCACCACCCACGCATGCGACGCGCAGGATCATCTGCTACTGCACCGTGTCAAGGTGCAAGCTGTGCGAGACGAGGACTCAGACTACCCTGTGGAGCTCGTTTGCTCAGCCAAGCTGGGCACCGTCGTCTCTGTCATCAGCCCGGCTTTGGCTGATGGCCGCACCACCATCGAGCCTGGCAAGCCCTGGACTGCTCCCACACGCGGCCCTCGCCCACGTAGCCAAGCAAGCGCGGGTACAGCCACAGCAGCTACAGCAGGTGCACCCGCTACAGCGTCCACCTCTGCTGCGTCAGCGACAACAGGAACCGGCAACGGCACAGCAAGCAGTGGCGCACAGCGGCGGGCATACACGTACATCACGACAGATATGGCGGCAAAGCAGGCGCACCAGCGCGGTATCATCAACATCTACGGTGTTGTCACGTACTTCCGCACGCCGCAGAAAACGCGAAACGACTTTATGATGTCCGTCACGATTTCCGACAGCTCCTGGCAGCTGGACAGCGATGGGCTCAAGGTTGAACTGGCGCGCACGCGAACATGGGTGCATGTTGTTTGTTGCGTGCAGCTTTGTTGTGCAGTGGTGTGTGTGTGCGTGTGTGCATGTGCGTGTGTGTGCGTGTGTGTGTGTGCGTGTGTGCATGTGCGCGTGTGTGTGCGTGTGCGTGTGTGTGTGTGTGCGTGCGTGTGTGTGTGTGTGTGTGCGTGCGCGTGTTGTGTGTGTGTGTGTGTGTGTGTGTGTGTGTGTGTGTGTGTGTGTGTGTGTGTGTGTGTGTGTGTGTGTGTGTGTGTGTGTGTGTGTGTGTGGACAGAAGGGCACCATGTTCTTCCGTTGTCACACCACATCACTGCTCTCATCCACGATACCCCGTCTCCTTTGATCCGGTACCACTGGCGCCAGATGAATCTGTTTGCGCGGGAGCGGTCGCTGCTGCCGCCAATTCAGCGCGTCGGCGATGTCATCCGCGTGCACGGACTGAAACTGCAGGTGTACAGCGGCTCGCCGCAGGGGGTCGCAAACTTCAACCCAAAGAAGTCAGTGAGAGAAGGGTGTGTGTGTGTGTGTACATGTGTGTGTGTGTGTCTTGATGTGTGTGTGTTTCTGTATGTCTCCTCTCCACCTGTGTGCATGTGTGTGTGTGTGTGCATCTCATCTCTCCATCTGTTTGCTCGTTTTATGTTTGAATCCAACCATCCTACACCTTACATACATTATCACACCACCCCCGACCAATCATCACCACCACTACTACTACTACTGCTACCGGTGCAGACGCGATTCGTTCGTGCTGTTCCACGGGCAGCCGGCCATGCCCCTCGCCCCATATGCGCACTCCAGCAAATCCTTCACCTTCACAGACGCAGACAAGGCCATGGTACGTACGTGCGTGTGTTTGGGTTGGCGGGAAAGAGGTACGGGGTTGTCAACGTGCGGTTAAGCGTGGTGTGGAGTTTGAGTCTCTCTCCCTCATCAACACACGAACACACTCCAACACGAACCAACCACCACCACCATCACCACCAGCTGCGTCGGTTGCGGTCGTGGGCGCTGGCGCAGACGTCCATCCAGCGGCACCAGCTGCTCTCCGAGACGACGAGCGAGGGCTTCTACGACATCATCGTTCAGGTCAGGGCCTGCTCGGGGGGGGGGAAGTGTTGATGTGCTGTGAACGTGTGGACGCGTGAACGCCTGTGTATTCCTGTGAGCATGTACGTGTGTGCACGTGCATGTAAATGTATGCCTCTCCGTATCCGTCTCTGCGTGCGCGTGGTTCTGTCACTGTAGCAGCTGCAGTCCGTTCACGCACGAAACGCAATACGTGTAACCACATGTCTGTGCATGCCTTTGCTGCACGTGTCCAGGTGCTGTGCGTGCTGCCTTCAACGCCCACCAAGAGAGCGTAAGTCGCTGACACACAGTACTGTTTGCTGACATTGCTGCACATTGCTGCCCATTGCTGGTTTGTTCTTTCACTCATCTGCACACACTCTCGCTTCTATGCTGTGTCTCACATGTGTGTGTGTGTGCTTGTGTGCATTAGGATGTTGATTGTGTGGGACGGGAGCCAGCCACCACAGGCTGCCCTGTAAGCCCGTGCTCACGCCCGCTGCGGTGCTGTATTGTATTGTATCGTGTTGTGGTTTGCTTATGCTAGCTTGCGCCTGCACAACCTTCCTGGTTATTTTTGCCTGCATGCACGTGATCGCTGTCCTCAACATTGCACACACACACACCATGTACATGAACACGCACGCACACCATGTGCATGAACACGCACGCACACACCATATACATGTAATGCACTGCACGTGCAGCCCATCCCACTCGCTGTATCTTCCCAATGTTCCCAGCGCCGTCACTAGCAGATGCATCGAACTTTCCCTCGATACCCAAGTCGAGGTGGGCCCAAACATCCGCACATGCATACACACACACACACACACACACACACACACACACACACACACACACACACACACACACACACACACACACACACACACACACACACACACACACGTGTGCACATGAGTGGCTGTGTCAGTGCATGCGTTCTAACGTTCCCTTTCTTGCGTCATGTGTGTGTGTCCAGCAATCCGCGTTGCGCCTCCGCCCGAATGACATCATCAAATGCAATCGCGCCGGCGTCTCGCTCCAGCACGGAAGGCTGGTGCGTGTGTGTTGTTTTATTGTGTGATTGGTGTATGCGTGTGTGCATTGTGTGCATTGCGTGTGTGAATGTGTGTTTGTCTTCATCACAGCTGCCATCACCCCTGCGATGTTCAGGTGTACACTGTCCGCTCGCGTGCCGGGGACATTGTCAAGTTGGATGAGAGCGACGCAGACGCACAGCTGCTGCTCAGGTGCACATGCTGGCGTGGTGGCGGTGTGTGTGTGTGTGTGTGTGTGTGCGTGTGTGCGTGTGCGTTTGAGATGTGATGAGATGGGTGCTCTCGACAGCTGTACTGAAAGCATCACCGCCATCGCAGTTGTTGTAATCGATGCTTGCTGTCATCATGTCTCCTGACAGGAAGCTGAGCCAGGTGTCTGGCCGTGATGCAACCGTACAACAGGCAGCGACAACAGCAACACCCGCCACAAGCACGACTGCAGCGACAGCGACCACAGCAGCAGCATCGGCGCGAACCACGGCGACGGGCGGAAAGCGGGTGACGTTTGGAGGCGTTCCCCGCCCCCAGTTCAGAAGCAGTGCAAGTGAAGCGAACAGCAGGCCATCACCATCATCATCATCAGCAGCAGCAGCAGCAAGAACAGGACCTGCCATATCATCATCATCATCATCATCATCATCATCATCATCATCATCATCATCATCATCATCATCCCGCAAACGGGCAAAACGCGGGCGACTCACAACCGGTGCGCACTCGTCATCTAGATTCGCACACACACACACACAGTCACACACACACACACACACACACAGTCACACACACACACACACACGCACACATACACACACACGTTCGCTGCTTCAGTCCTCTGCAATCACTCACGTGTGCGCTGTGTACAGCGGTGTGCCCATCGCACCTGCCGAAGACAACCCTCAAACAGCTCATGCAAACAACAGCGGTGCGTTTCATGAATGTCCTGTGCATGCCCTGCACACGTACCATCGTCGTGTCTTGTGCCCTCTTTCTTCACCTACGCACGCACACACACACACACACACACACACATACGCATCACACAAGCACACACACACGCACGCACGCTCCTTGCCGTTATTCTTCGCCTTAACCTCTCTCTCTCTCTCTCCTTCTCTCTCTCCTTCTCTCTTGCTTCCCTGCAGCCCACGATGGGTCGCTGTTCGTGCAAAGTGCACGCGTATCGACCAGCGGACATCAGCGAAATCACACAGCGCGTTTGTGCACAGTGCAATCGAAGGTATGCGCATGTGTCAACAGCTATGCGTGCGTGCGTGTTGTGTGTGTTGCGTGTGTTGTGTGTGTTGTGTGTTTCGCCTTTACTTTGTGTCGCCTCCCGTATCCGTTTAACGTGCTCACCAGCACGCACGCACACACACACACACACACACACACACACACACACACACACACACACACACACACACACACACACACACACACACATTCACGCCCCTTCAGCTGCGCGTCGTCGACGTGTGCGGGCTGCGGGTCTGGTGTGCACGTGCGGCACCAATGGGCGCTGACGCTGCTGGTGCACGACCCGACCGTCATGACCAGCGTCCTCCTCTACGGCGATCACGCGGTGCTGCCGACCTCGCAGCTCGCTTCTTGTTGTTACCGTCTGTGTGTGTGGGTGTCTGTGTCTGCGTGTCCGCCTGTCACACAAACACACTCTCGCATTCGCAAACACATTCGCTCACAAACACGTTCGCAAACACACAAACTCGCGTGTACGCATCCTCTGCCACATTGCTTCACAGACGACGTTCCTGCTCGGAGCAGATGCCGAAGCTTTCAACCGCGACACTAAAGTGTATGTGCACGCGGACATGTATTCCTGTGAACACGTATTCGTTAGATGTGTGTGTGTGTGTGTGTGTGTGTGGAAGGTTTGAGGGCTTTGTTGCACGTGCGTCTGAGTCCGTTCTGCTCATACTCTTGTTCTGCGTGTTCAACTGCAGGCGCGAGGAGGTGATGCAGCTATTGCAGCAGCTGGCATCCGGTGAGCAACCCACACATGACATGTGGTGCTGACACACACACACACACACACACACACATACACATGCCCACACACACATACACACACGGACACACGCCCCCCCCCCCCCCACACACACACGCGCACGCACCCACACACGCACGTTGGCCACAACTTCTATACCCACCTGCATGCCTACGGCTTCCTCTGTGCGCTGCTCACATGTTCTCTTCGTGTGCTGCAGACAAGCCAACCGTGGACATGTGCATTGAAGCGTACACCAACCGCGAAGGGAAGGTGCGCCCATCATTTGTCGCTGTTGTTGTGTGATGTCTGTTGTGATTGCTGTTGTTGTTCCTGCCCTCGCTCCTTCAAGCCAACTCACACCAGCCTCTCCCTTCTCTCCACCTGTTACAACAGCGACAACTGTCTGTGTTTGCCACACAGCTCACGTTTGACTGACGCGACGTAATTGAGACAGCTGTTGTGGCAACGTGCTGTTGTGTTGCAGCACTGCCCCATGTATCTCACGTTGTGGACCGCTGGCCGGTCGCTCGTTGGTGCTGTTGCTTGTGGATATGGGAAGCGATAAGGAAACGCAAGTGGCGTGGTAGCTAGCTAGCAAAGGGAGAGAAGAGGGAGACGGAGTAAACGCAGCAATCAAGCAAGCAAGCAAGCGAGCATTGCAACACGAAGCAGGGTTTGCCATTCTCCCTCCATCCCCATTCATCCATCACCACCACCAACATCCGTGGAGATGCAGAGTGTGTTTGTGACTGTCGGCTCAACGCAGTTTGATGAGCTGACACAGCTTGTGACCACAGAAGCAACCCTGCAGGTGAGCGTGCCGTGACCATGCCATGTGTGCGTGCGCATGTGCGTCGACGACACAATGCCTGTGCGCTCCTGTCCCAACACCCAAGCAATTGCCCCAGCCACCCCTTGCCTCAACTCACACTGCGATCTGCTCCCGTTCCTTGCTGGCACCACGCGGTGCAGGCGTTAGCGAGGCTTGGGTGCCGGCGGCTGACGGTGCAGTATGGGACAGCAAAGGCGCCGCGCGTGCCGCCTGTAGCGAAGAGGGCTGGGGTGGAGGTGGAGACGTACGACTACAAGGCGAGCATTGCCAATGACTTGGCAGCCGCAGACGTGGTCATAGGCCACGCCGGCGCAGGCACCATCCTCGAGGCGCTGGGTGCTGGCAAGAAGATGGTCGTCGTGGTCAACGACAGGCTAATGAGCAACCACCAGACTGAGCTTGCCTTCAAGATGAAGGCGTTGAACCACCTGGACGCGTGTACGTGCGACACCTTGCTCCACACCCTCGCGGGCTTGCCCGCGCGATCGTTTGCACGGTATCACGGCGGCGAGGACGACCGCGCCGTCCTCAACCACATCGCGGGCGTACTGGAGGCTCGCAGGGCCGATGCGCTTCGCTCTGCACAGGGCCGCGGCAGACCAAGCATAGCACTCTTCCTGGTTGCCGCTGTCTTGGCGTTTGCCCTCGCACACACCCTCTTCTTCCTCACCTGACTCGCTCGGTGTGCCAGTGCTCTCTGTCTGTCTGTCTGTCTGTCTGTCTGTCTGTCTGTCTGTCTGTCTGTCTGTCTGTCTGTCTGTCTGTCTGTCTGTCTGTCTGTCTGTCTGTCTGTCTCTGTGTACTTCCCCTCTCCCCCACCCTCTCCCGCGCTCTGTTGGGCCTGTGCTCGCTTGCATCCCTCTCTTTTTCACATAAGCAAGCAATAGACGAACTCAATCAAGCACAGCATTGCAACAAACCATTCCCCCATCTTGGACCGTTACAGCAAACCACTAACACCACTGATGCTGGAGCAGCTGGACCTGCGTATCCATCCGGAGACGGCACGCACGCCGAGCCATGGCTGGGATGACGGGGAGTACAGCGTAACCGTGGATGCTTATCCGCAGATGCAGGCACCACAGCACTCTGGTGGCCGCGAAGAAGAAACAGGAGGAGGAGGAGGAGGAAGCGGTGTGACAAGGGGAGTCAAGCGCACACAACAGCCGCAGCCGGGCAGGCCAGTGTCGCCATCGCCACCGCCGCCAGCGCGCAGTGAACGCGTGGTGGTGATGTTGGACGAAGGCGGGGAGCAAGCAGGGCTCGTGGCAGGCCCAAGTAGCCACCCCCGCCACCAGCAGCACCAGGATAAGTATCACCACTACCCTGACGCTGCTGCTGGTGGTGGTGGTGGTGTGCGTGGCCCATCTCGACGGCGAACACAACCGCCGCAACGACGACGCCCTGCCCGCGCATCCATGCGACGGTCCAAGCCACCACCGAAGCACACCAACCCTCCATGGAACGACCGCTTCTTTGCCAAGGATGATGAAGCAGGTACACATGTGTGTGTGTGTGTGTGTGTGTGTGTGTGTGTGTGTGTGTGTGTGTGTGTGTGTGTGTGTGTGTGTGTGTGTGTGTGTGTGCGTGTGTGTGTGTGTGTTTGTGTGCGTGCGTGGATAACGGCTCCCCGTGTCCTCTCTCTGTGTCCCTTCTTCCCGTGCCTCTGCCCCCCCCCCACCCAACCACCTCAATCTCTGCATCTGTTTCCGTGTCTATCCCACTCTTCTCCTCCCCGACTGCCCCAGCCGTCGTCTTCTCCCCGCGTTCCTCTGGTTGCCACTTGCTCACACCCAGCATCGTATGCGCTCCAGACGAACAACCGAGTGCCGTGGCCCGGTTCCAGGAGAAGCTTGCCCTGCAGCTGCAGTCGCCAACACACCCACAACAGCAGCAACAGCGTCGAAAGGCGACGGGCGCCGGTTCCAAGAAGGGTAAGGTGAAGAAGAACACAAGACAGCAGCAGAAGAAGAACACCGCGAAGAAGCAACCGCGAACGCAGGGGGTCAGGGCAAAACCAACGCACATGATCCCACGCCAGCCGTCACACCGCCCACCAACTGGTGCAACTCCTGCCGTGCCAACAGCAACAACACCGACACCAACAACGCGAACGACGGCGGCACCCACGGGTCACCATCCAGCACGCCCTGTTGCAAAGGGAAGCAAGGGCGCTGCTGCTCCACTCACGGCGTCGCAACGGCTACGACTGCGCGTGCGACAGGAACGGGCGATCCAACACCACCACGCCAGACAGCAAGGCCATCACCTCCAGCACCACCACCACCAGCAGCACCACCACCAGCAGCAGCAGCAGCATCAGCAACCGAGACAACAGGCAGACCGCAGCCGTACCAGACCTCAGGTCCCACGTCACCGACCGTGGCATGTTCACCGACAGCACGGCGGTGCGATCGAGGGTGTCAACCACCGTGTCGATGACGATGATGTCGATGGTGATGGCAATGATGGCGCAGTGTTGGCGGCAGCAACGGAGCGTGGCCTTGCACTGCTGAACAGAGCACATCGCAGCCGTCCTCACCATCAGCATCAGCGACAGGAGCGAGGGCATCATGGCCACGTGCCATTATCGCTGCGCACGGCGGCCACCGGGTATGCGCGCGTCAGTGGTGATGATGGCTATGATGGAGGCTACGCAGGCGGTGGTGGTGATGACGATGGCGTGATGAGCACGGGAATGCGCACACGAACGGTGACACCCACAGCGTCCATCAGAGGAGACACGAGAGGAGTCACAAGGACAACAGGCGGAACGCCCGCACGAACATCAACTCAGCACAGCAACACTCGCGCACACAGACCGTACCAGCCACCACATCACCAACAACAGCCCCCGTCACAGCCGCAACGACAGCAGCGAAAGCGGCAGCAGCAGATGCAGCAACGACAGCAGCAACAGCAGCAACAGCAGATGTTTGCGGCTGAAGGGCTTGGGTATGGTGTGACGGAGGAGGAGGAGGGGAGTGACCGTGCGGACAGGCAGACAATGACGTGTGGGGTGCAGGTTGACATGGACACCATGGCAGATGCCCCTGCGCGCACAGTTGAAGGCGACCGCGCATGTGCACAGGATTCACTGCGGCGCATGGACGGTGGCGGACAACCCGTCCGGTCGAGTGCGCTGGAGGCGTTTTTGGAGGAGTCGATTCGATTCATTTCACACGCGCTGGCAGACGACGCCGATGCTGCTGCGGTGGAGGACGTGTATGCGGCTGGCACGCACCACTATCAACAACAACAACAACAACAACAACAACAACAACAACAACAACAACAACAACAACAACAACAACAACAACAACAACAACAACAACAACAGCAGCAGCAGCAGCAGCCATCATTGCTGCCGCAACAAGTTGGCCGGACAGCAACAGCAGGAACAACTAAAGCGACAGCAACAGGAGAGAGCCGGACGCCACACACCGTTCAGCGAATGAGCGAGCGGGATCTGAATGCGCTGGTGGACAGGCTGCTCGGCGTCTCCGTGCGCAGCGACGACGAGGAGGACAACGAAGGCGATGACGACGATGACGACGAGGAGGAAGATGCTCATCTTGATGGCCGCGGTACTGGTGGTCGCGATCGCTGGCAATTCCGCCACCGCCACGATGGAGGTGATGGAGGTGATGGAGGTGATGGTAGTCGGTTTGGTCGCACTGGTACTGGTATCGCTGGCAATGGTGTGGCTGCAGTTTCCACGAGACACACGAGAACACACGCGCCACCACTTCACATCTCGGGCAACCAGGATTCCATCCACATGCACCACCCTCTCCATCACCATCACCGCAGCATCAGCGAACGGCAGCACCACTCGCCTTCAAGCGTCCCCAGCGGCGGTGGCAGCGACGTGAATGTGTCGCGTCACATCATCTCGTATGACGGTCGTCCACACGATGCCAGGGAGAACCAACGCGCAGCAAGCAGCAGCGGCGATGCCAGTAACTGCGCCCACCATCCCCTTGATCATCATCATCACCATCATC